TGTGTCCTGCCCTGGGATTTCTCGAAGAGGTGAATCGCCCTAAACCTGTAGATGAGGGAGTATCACAAATTGTTCCTCGAACTCCGACTGAGAAGGGTCTTTCGAACTGCTAACTAGGTATGCTCTTCTGGAGGGTATCAGGAGGCATGAAAGGATCTAGAAATCCGTAGGCATCAGAACTATCTGTTGGACACCTTGGAGAGGTGGCCAGTTTTCGGCGAAAATCAAGTCGGCCTCGAATCAGATGCGTTATCCGTTCCTTCTCTTTCGCTCACGTAGGCTGAAATGCTTTGGTCTTATCGACCCGATTTGATTGGAACGCTTGGTTTCAGACCGCTGTTTAGCCCTCTTGATCACTCCATTTCCCCTACTACTCAGAACCTCTCCTTATCATTTGCATTTAATATCAAATCAAAGGAAAACATACAGATCATTGACGAATCGATCCATAACAAGCTTTCTGATTGATTGAATCGCTTTTCACACTGTCGACATTTCAATTTCTTAATCACACCGTAAACAGTTTTAGCTATGCTGCGCGCTGGGCGCATCGCATTCCGATCCTTTCGCCCTATTACTACAAAGAAACCAGTCAACAATCAGGTTTACTAGATGGATTTCATTTTGTAGAAGTAACAGACGGCCAGTGTTTCAGGGGCTTCTGTATCGGAAGGCGTCTTCAGTAACAGTATCAGAAGCCTTTACTGTCGAACCGATACCATCAGTGGGAGTTGTACCTGTTGGCGACTCAAACGGGAATTTCAGGTGAATGGACTATCAAGAACCCTAATTCGTATCCATACCGAGCAAGATGTACAATGTGATATCTCGCATAGAGGCATGAACGTAAAAGGCACAAAACCCTGAATGATATTTATTTTTCATTGTAGCCCCCTTGACCTCAATACACTTGTTTGCTCGGGAAATTTTTCAGTACCATATAAGAAATATTTTTCTTCCTAGACCCCAAAATAAGCGATAACTCTCGCCTGCTGCTCTTTATCTTCTGAAAAACGATTTCCACGAAGATCGTTTTCAGATTGGAGACCAACAACTAATCAATTCATAAACTTTCTTTATATTCTATTTTCTTTTTAATGCCTTTCTCAATTTTTCTCCATCAATAATCGATTTTTTCTCATAACAGCGATCGTATCACAGTACAATATTCTCGCCGTTTTCTTTCCATGCTAAGACTAAGTATAATAGCTGATGACCAACTAGAGAAAACTTTGTATATCTATACCCTCGGAAGTGTCAGTTACCTATTAAAATGTTTGAATCCCTTCGTCACTATTAACTATACCCCAATTACCAGGAACTACTTTGAAGGGCCTCGTAACCTTCGTCTTTAGGCTATGTAATGGCCACATCGCTTAAACTTGCTTTTTAGCACGAAGTCGCGAAAGCAACATCTTCTGATCAACAGTAGAGCTGAATTGCATAAAGCTCAAAGGATCGTCGTGAAACTCGGTAGCGCAGTGATCACCCGAGAAGATGAATGCGGTCTGGCTCTTGGTAGATTGGCATCTGTTGTTGAACAGGTGATATTTCTGTTTTGGAACTTTAACATAACCTGACCAATTAACAATCGTTTCCCAACCTAGACTTTCAGTTATTCACACAGGAATTTTTTTCTAGCTTGTTGATTCATTTAAGAAGTTCGATAATTTCGCTCTGCAAAAAACACAGATTGAATTTCGTTGGATCCGTCTGGCATACATATCTGTCTTCCAAAATGTTCACAGTCAGCTAGAGCCGGCTAGATGGGTCCTGATTGCAGTTATAGCGGCGCCACTGGAGGGAGCCTTTGCGACTCCGAATTCAGTTACAATTACACGTCCAATCTTATTGTTAGTATACAACACCACTTTCACCACTGCTTTAGTAGTGTCAACGTCAACGGTATGCATAGGAGAGGATAGTTAGCACGGGAGAACCGGCTCTGAGACGCCCCTTTTTGCACATCGTTATGGACCACATGAGGCAACCGTTGTTCTCTGGTCCAATTGAACATTCCAAAATCTTCAATGCACCCTGTTTGTTTTCAAAGGGGAGCACCAGGCTCTTCTTTTGGGTTGGCGTATGAATTTTCATAGTAGTTGGCAGCAAGAGGGCTCGCGAATCCTTCCCTAAAGCGGTATGACGAGATCATGACCTCTCATACCCTAGACTCTTTGTTAAGGGCAAGTGGCATGATAAATCTCCAAGACATGTAGGATTAATACGCCTAACATAAGCCCCTGAAAAAGCGCTGCGTGACGCCTTTACCAAGGAAACTGTCTTTATAACATCATATCAAGCTGCAACACAGCGACCCGGACGCCCATCGGGCCAACCCGTCCACAACTGTCCGACCGATGTCGCTTCATTTGCCAAATGCTATGGAGAGAAGCGATTGATATGAAGCAGCAGCGATGCTGCATGGATATATGAGTGCATACATGCAACCGCATCTTCTGTAGAAGTTATTGGCACGATGTCAATGGGGAACTCATCCGAAAAAACTTCCTGAGTAGTGCGGAACAAAGGCTTTTTGTAGACCCTTGACTGCTTCGCTTTGCTTTTTCCCGTTTCCCTACCAAATTGTCGTGCCTTTTGCCTTCAAATACCGAAAACCCTCTTCTCTCCACTGCGCGACATGTTCTACACAGATAAGCGGGAGTTTTTGAAGTACAAATATTGCACTTCATATTAGATTTACAATTCAATTAAAAAACTTTCAAAGCGAAGCTAAGACTAAAGAGTTGATCATATTCAGGTCGCTGAATTGCAGCAGTCTGGTCGACAAATGCTGATCGTCTCCTCAGGTGCTGTAGCATTCGGTAGGCAAAAATTGCGACAAGAGCTCGTTATGAGTATGAGCATGAGACAGACGCTGAGGTCAGATCGATTCCTTCAAAAAAGCATAAATTGAATAGCCTTCTGGTAAGCTACATCTTTTCCATTTAGGGGTCCAGCTGGAATTACTGCAGATAAACGTGCGTGCGCTGCATCAGGAATGCCTGGGCTGATGTCACTATACGAGCAGCTTTTTCAACAGTACGGAATTACAGTGGCTCAGGTGATGGTTGGACCATAAGGATAACGTTACAGATAAGGTTTTCTGGTGCATTCACTTCGAAAAGGACTGAAAGAAGGCAATTAAGACAAAGTCCAATACATCGTTACGACGTCACGTGAAAATCATGTGAACTTCGGGCAATTCGGTGATGCAGTAATCGTGCAATTCCTTATCTCGTGATGGTCCGTACCTCTAAGGAGTACCAAGGCGTTGGAGCTTTGACAGTTCAGCACGCATACCCAACACCGCATACCCGTTCCTTTGAGACCCTTTTACCTGACGTAGCTGCCGTAAGCTCCCCTAATAGTTCGGTAGACCGCGGAAGACAGAATTGGGCCAGTCATGAGGTAATGTTTTGAAATTCGGGGACCTGGAGGTGAAGAGTCAAGTTGTCTCATCTAAATGGTCCACTGCAGCAATTTGAAGAATATGGAACATAGAGATGGTCAGTACCAGCGCTGCTGACAAACAGGTAGTAACAGGTGTGTCTCAGCGCTCAGGGAAAGCGGGGTCATGAGAGAGTATACGAACTTTGAGTCACCAGCAAGCCTCATGGAACCAGGGCACGGCATCCGGGTTGGAGGAGTATGATACGGCCCCCCCCATCCCTCCCCATCCTACCAACCAGCCGTGCCGGAGACGCCGTCTAGAAAATAACCTATTTTTCCACTGCTAAAGCTGAGACCCAGTTAAGGAAAGGATCTTTATCGCATGCAAGTGGGAAAAATGCTGCTTTCCCTCACCGTTTTTCTATCTGTTCCCCAGCTCCGCACGACAGCGACTGGAGTCTGCTAAACGCGCCGGAGTCGAAATAGGCATGTGATCTCGCTTGTGGCGCATGTGTCAGGAGGTTTCGGTCCAAGCGGACGTGATATTTGTGTTCAGAAGGTCAAAATATTCAGTTGACAAGATGGAGCAGAAAGCCGATCAAAAACTGGCGATTCTGGATGATTGAGGCAGTAAAGACAATATACGTATCATTTCTTTTGAGACGAGATACGACCACCCCCCCCCTCCCAGAAGAGCCAAGTACGACCTCCTCTGAAAGGTTTCTGCTAACTATATTTTGCACTCTGCTTGAAAAAGTGGACTAAAGGGACACCACGTAGCTCTTAACCTTGAAACCAAAGAAAGTGTAGTCCCAAAAGACAAGAAAGTGTAGTCCAGAAGGCATTTCTGTCGATAGTAGTAGTGAGTAATAGTAATGAGTATGCTATAGAACAGTGGAAATCACTATTCCTTACCAAAATGCAAACCCTTCTGAGCTGAGTGGTTTGGGAAAAACATTCCTTCTCCAAAGGATTCCGCGGATCCCTCGACTTTGATGCATCATGCTTTTACGTTTGTTATGAAGAATAAACCAAGTTAGATTTAGTT